AAGTTTTTGAGAAAATGCCACGGGAAAATTTTTTCTTCTTGTTTCTAATTTGGTAAAGTGATCTACGGGAAGAGTTACCATTCAAAACATCTTATTCCCAAGTAAGAAACTAATAATCATATTAGTTTTTCCTGATCTAGTTTGCCCCGATACTAATAAGTTGAAAGGCCACTGAGGTGTACTATTTAATGAGTTAAATCTTTCCAGATTTTTGCATTCATCAATATTAAGTACAAATATTTCACATGGATCAAGCTTTTCTATTTTTATATCAATCAAGCTAAGTCACTAATTATTGCTTTGCAGATATAAAGTATCTATATCAAAAAATAATGATCTTATGAGTTTATTCTTTGTGTAATAAATAATCTCTCTCTTGTAATTTGCTTTTTATATATGGCAATAAATCAGCAGAGTAAGGGATTTCAATAAGATCTATACCTCGCTTTTTGCATATATTTTGCTTTTTTTGGTCGCGTGATCTTTGTAAATATAGGTCAGCCTTGCCATTGGGGTGAAAGTGTTTTGGAACAACATTAAAATGTTGGATGTCCTGGAATTTGAATGCTAATTTTAGCTCTTCGTTATACCCGTCTAATTGCATTCCATCTAAGAACTTAGCCCTGATGGTGAAAATTTCTTACCTAATAGATCCTCAAAAATATATCTTACGTTTCTCTCAGTGGTATGATGGTATAAGGGACACCATTCAAATTTCGTAGTTATTAATAGATATGGATATTCCCACTGATACTTTCTGTTTTTACAGGACCAGAGGTATATATTGAAATCATTTATTTGGCCAGTTTTACCAAGACATTTTCCGCCATGCTTCTTAGCATATGTAACAGCTTTAGCCATTTTATTAATAATACGAACGAAATTAACAGACTGGGAATGAGTATTTTCTTCCAATATACTCTGGGGTGGATACTGAAGCGTATTAATATTCACATATAAGAGTTCCTCTTTCACAAATCCACACTTTGGTGTAAACTCATCACCTTCTAAGTAATATAAAATAGGCTCATTCTTCATTACAACAATTTTTCGAATTTTATATAATGAAGGACTCTATATCGGATCTGTGCTTCTGCGATTCTCTAAACCTGGTGAGCCTTCCCACTCTCCATTGGCTAACAAATAATGAACTATATCACCCTTCTTTAACTTATTTTTCTCATTTTTTTCAACTGGACGCTTATATTTTGTAGATGGCCTGGATTCTACTCGTTCCAATTTGATAGCTTTTGCTGGAGCTAAACCCCACTTTGAAGAACCTGGAGCTCAGATGAGGCGTATAGGATAATTATTAAGATAATCTATTACTTTGGATAAATGTTTAACCCATGCTCTTATTAATTTAGGGTCCGAGGATATACTTTTAATACTATATTGAATCTTATATAGCATTTCTGTTAGAGTTTTATTAAATCTCTCTACAATTGCTGTACCACGATAGGAATATAGACCAATAACTCGAATTACTACACCATGTTCCTCCATTATTCTACTAGTCTCGCCCATCCATTCCTGACCATTATCTGTTTGTAACAATCGAGGCCAGGTTAATAGGTAATTATAGCTATTATATATTTTCTTAAATGCTTTAGTAACTTCTAAACTTTTCTTTAACATAAGAGGAACTGAGGCCTTATATCTTGACGCACAATCCACTATATTTAATGCTGCTTTGTATGTCTTTCCTTTATATTTGTCATGTGTGAAAAACAGTATATCAGCCTGGTGTACACAATTAGGACATGATATCCAACCAAAGCTGGCTCTAGTGATGTGTTTTGGTGGAGGCTTATAAATTTGGTGCTGTTGTTGAAACTCCAACCACTCACAAATTTTTTTATATAGGAAATGGTAGCCTTCATTCTTGATAGCTTTATATAATTTTCAAGCATTGGAATGGTAACCGGTGGGTTATAATAAATTAACCGGCAAACAAGATCTACTTCCTCATCAGGATCTATAGTAATACTAGGTTGGTTCATTTTCAATACATTTTACTATATTAATAAATTATTATTTGGTAAAGTTTCCATAAGCATCAATATATTATAGGCTTGTACAATGCCATTAGATACAATAGTGTATCTACCTAGTGAAACAATCAAAAAATTCGAAGCTAGTTTGCAGATAATAAAAAATCGATTATGTAAATTACAATGGGATCTAGACTTAAAAGAGAGTTACATTAAATATCTCGAAAATGAAATTTTGATTTGAGATAGAGAACTGGATCCATTATGACAGGAAATTTCTGATATTAAAGAACGGTTAGAAAAAACACTTCGAGATTCTGAAAGCCGAGAGAATTATATAGACTATTTGGAAAAGCAGTTAGTAATTTTTCAAGATGAAATAGACAAGCTTAATGAAAAAATAAAAATACTTATTTTATATAAAAATGGCAATAATAATATAGATTTGAAGAACTATAACCTTGCTATAGATATGGCACAACAACCAGGATCACCCAGATTATCTTTGTCAGAAAACCAAGCTAAAATCCATAATAATAGGATTCAGCGAGAGATTAATAATATTAGATGATATTTTCAAAGCCCAATAACAATAACACCTACAATTAATGTTATTGTGGATTATTTCTGATGCTGGGAATAGGTTTGAAAGATTAGTACTAGATATATATCCGCGGGCAAATGCTCACGCAATTTATGCAGAAAATCAAGTAGCATATTTGCAGACCCAGTTAACTAATTCACAAATCCAGTTAGCTACACTTCAAAATGACTACGATCTCTACATCAGGTCTATGAAGCTCACAGAACACAACACAATATATTTAAATCTCGAGAACTTGATAGTCGAATTACAATCCGTATACAAAAAGACAAATATCAAAATTGCTTCTAGAAAAATTTGCATTGGGATTTAAGAATAGACGAACACAACAGCAACTACAAGAATATAAGACAGATGAAGCAATTACTACGCACCTCTTAAATCTTACAAAAAATCAATACAGCAAATGGAAAAATAAATGCAAGACTCTAGAAAATGATTTATTACTTGCCGATGTTCAACTGGACAATAAGTGGGGTAAGTGGAAAAATCGTGCTCGAAATTTTGAACAATTAATAAATAATTTACAAGCACAAATTTTATTGTTACATAATAATC